TCTATAACGTTAGTACCAAGCGGTTTAAGCCGAACGACTTAAATCCGACCTATCTCTGGCATTGTCGACTTGGCCACATCAACGAGAAACGCATAGCGAAGCTTCATAGACAACACATTGTCAATCACATCCTATGTGATTCCTAGATGAGTATGGGATAGTGATACGCTATCACTGCATGTTCCTCATCCCATCCTTACCATTAGGTCCAAGTCCGACTTGATAACCCAATTCAAGCTCAACCATATTTGAGCTATGAGAATCACGATTTCTCCATACTGTCTCACCAAGATAATCAGGCACGCTCAGCTAGGGCATGACCCGTAACCATGACGATCGAGGCCTTGACAGTTGCTCTACTAATGGGCGGTAATAGCTTGAGATTTCATGAGGCATAGGTGACTTGAACACCAGGATACCTTAACTGAATTCAAGTCAGTTCAGTCAAGCTGTTCCGATCAACTCGGTTGAACTACTCTTAGTTCAATTGAATCGTCTGTGTATATAATCCTTTTTGCCAAACAACACTTGCTTGCTTTAAATTATGTACCGAAACACTCTCATTGGTTAAACATTCATAATGTTCATCCAATGTGCATCAAAATCTCGGCTCAGAAACTTGAAACGATGCAACAATTGCATCTAACAAAGTCTGATCAACTGACTCTGTCCGAGTCAACACTTGACTCGGTCCGAGTTAGAAGCCGAAATCATCTACAGATCAATCTGAACCAAAACTTGACAACCGGACAACTTTCTGTACTGACTCTGTCCGAGTCAAAACTGGCTCGGTCCGAGTCAGAAGTCTGTAAGGCCAAGTCTGTTCATTTTGGTTCGTTCTGACTCGGTCAAGTCAACACTTGACTCTGTCCGAGTCAAAACTCTGACTCTGTCTAGGTCAAAACTCTTGGAGATCTCTCGTTCTGACTCGGTCGAGTCAACACTTGACTCTGGCCGAGTTAAAACTCTGGTAGACACTTTTTGGCCACGAGATCTAGGGTTTCACCCCGTTTCGATGCACCATCAAGCCGTCTTCGACCCCCAAACTCATCCATGCATCCAATCATAACATCATTAAATATGCATAGATCAAGCCTATCATGCAATTTTAACCATTAAAATTCATATAGGCATGCGACAAGCACGGCGATATACAGAGAACCAGGCTCTGATACCACTGTTGGGTTCCCTGCGGGTTCCTAGCATGCGATCTCATCGATCTAGGGTTTGGTTTCTAGGTTTCATGCAGCGGAAGAAACGATCTAAACCTAGCCAAACGTCACACAAAACAATACTGACTCGGTCCGAGTCAGAAGGCTGAAAAACGTCCCGACACTCTGATTTGATCCGAAAACGGTTTTTCCGACCAAATCCAAGTCTTCCTTTCCGAAACTTCACATATAAGTCCATCCC